CCGTGCGGCGCTTCCGCCCAGGCCGAGCCGACTCAAGCCTGGCTCGTTTTTGATTGTAGCGGGTGAACGGGGAGCCCAGGGCGGTTGGATGTGTCGGAAGGCTGGGGCAGGGGGAATGGTAGCTCCTGGATTAGTGCAAAGTGCACTGGGCTGCGTGCCCTTCACGCCAGGGTCAGGCAAGGTCCTCTGCCCGGAGCTCTGGGCTTGCCCCGTCCCTTGCTTGGCATGGTCTGCAGGGGCAGCTCCGTTGGCATCCCTCCCAGCCAAGAGCAGTTCTGAGGGCGAAAAGAAGGTTTTAAGGCTGGGGCAGGGGGAATGGTAGCTCCTGGATTAGTGCAAAGTGCACTGGGCTGCGTGCCCTTCACGCCAGGGTCAGGCAAGGTCCTCTGCCCGGAGCTCTGGGCTTGCCCCGTCCCTTGCTTGGCATGGTCTGCAGGGGCAGCTCCGTTGGCATCCCTCCCAGCCAAGAGCAGTTCTGAGGGCGAAAAGAAGGTTTTAACCTTGAAACAACGAACGGTGGGATTTCTAGGGTCGTTTCTAGGTGGGTTTAATGGTCACTTGCTCTGATATAGCCAGTGTTACAGGTGGAGAAGTCAGAGCTGCACAAGATGGAGGGGACAGTGGGCTTGCCTTGCCCTCACATTAGCTGGGCAGTGAAAAGTGCCAACATGTTCCTCCAGGCAGGGGTGAGACAGTGGAGATGAAGTTTATGTGGGTCACTGGAGAAGGAATTACGTGATTAGAAACCAGGAGGTGCTGCAGAATAAGAGTGGGAAAAGAGGTGCTGTGGCGTAAGGTGTACAATAAGAGCACTTGGCTAAAAAGGAGCCTTTGAAACCTGCTGCTGGAAGGCAGGCACGACATGCCCCGTGCCAAGGAGGCATGTAGATGGGTCTGACACATCCCCCATAGCCAAGGTGGTGTTGACCCTGGGGTTGGGGAAGAAGGCCGAGAGTTGTACCTGTTGCTGCAGTTTCTGCTGCTTCGGAGCCGTCCTCCAGCATCACTTGGCACGGAGTGGATACGTGATCCTTCAGCTGATGGGAGCTGTAGCACTGAGTCTGGGAAGCCCTGGATGCTGCTGGTGGGCCACTGCCGTGTCCCAGGTCTGGGGGCTCTTCTGCCTCCCACACAGGGCACAGGCTCCTATCTCTGCCCTAAGTAGCCATCGCTTCTGGCAGGCTTTTTTCTCTGGGTGAGGCATGGCAATAATGAAACAAGCTACGTAACTTCCCCCTGACAGAGGTGGGAGCTGCTGGTTCATGTCCTTGCTGCCCAGTGTGTTGGCTCGGTGCTAGAAGAGGGAATTTGAACCACCAGAAATCAAGCTGCAGATAGCACGGGTAGTGGCTGCCCACGGATCCTGAGCATCCGTTGTGCTGTAGCGGCTCTGGGCAGCAAACCCCATACTGCTGGGCCCTGCTTGCTCTGGGCAGTGGCGATGGGGAAGTTGGGTGAGAGCAAGCAATACAGCAAAGTGGCTCACATCTCCATCTGACACAGAGCTGATATGTAAACCTGGGCCGATACTGTGGCTGGAGCCAGGGAGGGGGTTTCCCAACCCCTGAAGAGCCCCAGGGCTGCAAACCAGTAAAGTGCTCCTAATAAAACCTCTCAGGCCAAATTCCAGGCTTAATCTCGTTGTCTCATCCTAACACTTAGCTCCCTCCCAGCCCTGTTTTCCTGGCTGGTTTCTAGCCCAGAGCTCTCGCTGGGATACGGGTCTTTGGCAGGCAACGTCCTGAGTGCACACGTGCTGCTGAAGGACAGCTGAGTCCGAGAACTGAGTTCGCTCTTCCAGCCTGAAACGCTCCTCTGGGATCCACTTTTGGCTGTTCCCCCATTCCTGCGGAACGGCGATCACATTGTTCAGCCTCGTGCATCAAGGTGGCAAGTCTAATCCAGCACAGATTAGTTTCAACCTAGTTTTACCCTCTAATGCGCTGCGGGGAAGGAATTCAGCCTGTTGGAGAGCAGGTGCCTGCTTCTCCCATCCAGGGCAGGCGCGAGCATCTCTCGGCCCCTTGCCAGCCCCGGCAGGCGGGGTGGCTGGTGTCAGACTCTTCAAGAACCCGGTGAGAGCTTGGCCTTCTGGTTGGAGACGCCTTTTTGGAGAGGGAGGAAGGATCTGGCTTTGCTCAGGTTGTCTTGCAGGTAGCTGGGACTTGCGTGGCTGAATTTATTGGCTTAGAAAATTCTCTGTGCTCAAGAAAGGCTGTTCAGGGCAGGAGTGGGGGAGAGGCTGGGGCTTATTAAGCAGTTCTTATAAATAGAACACGTCCCTTAAAATGGGAGCTTTAGCAAAGGGCTCTAAGAGGAACTTCAGCCACTCGGGCTGAGTCTGAGTCACTGGCCCTGGGGACGGGATTCCTGTGTGCTATTGTGAG